ATAAGAGACAGGTATATGTGTGTGTGTAACGCCAACAATTTCAACAGTGGATTGTCCCCATTTCATACTGTAAAAACCAAACTTGCTATCAATCATGAGATTTATATCATTCCCTTGCGTATTACGCAATACAGTACTGTACTACAAGAGCGCGTTCAGTATCCAAATGGTGGAAGGTTTTGGTTTCATATCGTTTTACTATACATTGGAGTGGCTACTGTTTAGCCCACTGAGATACGCTGTTCTTAAATAATTTATGGTAGTCATGTACTACTAATAGGGATACAGTATGTATTTTATTTGTAAAATTATTCTAGATGAAGTTGTCATATATACTGTAAGAGGCCCCACTCAACAGTGAGTTAGTTTTGCTGGTTGGGAATTCCCTGACTCGTGTTTTAACTTCCTGTCATCAAATGTTATTGCATTCGTTTTTCTTATTTTATGCTTTGACACAATAAACGAAATGAAAATGAAATAAGTAGTGACATTTTGCAATGCGTTTTATAACACGTTGAAGTATTTGTATTCATTCAGGTTTCACAATTCACAGCAAGCGACTTAGCAGCTTAAGAGCTGAAAATGTTACAAATAAAATTAAAATTGCCAACAGCTTTTAATGATGATCATGCTTAGCCTATGATGTGAAAATCAACATCTGTTTGTATAGGTCTACTACAATTGATAGTGTTGGCTGCTAAAGCAAATTACACAATAAAAACATTTCTCTAAAGTGTAGTTTCCATAAAACCGCTACACTCTCGCTACAGTATTTACTGCTTTGACTGATCAATCAGCGTCACCAAAATCTGTCAGCGATAGCATGTAGCGATTTTATGGAAACAAAAACTGAATTTCCTTTACTTTACATTTTATATTATATTACTGTAAGAACAAAGGGTAGAAAAGTGAAGACAGTTACTTAGTGTAGGCCTAATTATAATAAATATATATTTTCTATATTTATATATACAGTATATAAAATAAATTTAAAGGGCCTAAGTAGGCCTACTACTATAAAAAAAAAAATTATAAAATACAATACAATATACAGGTCTCCCTCTAATAAGACCACCCCCACCCAACTAAAGGCCACCTGAATTAAAACGAATCCAAAATTTGGAATTGGAATAGAATTGGAAAATTTTAGTTTTTACAGTAAGTCAGGGCTTGCCCTAACTTTTTTTGGTAACTAGCCCACTGGGCTAGTTTACTAGACTGAGATTTTACTAGCCCACAGAATATTTTACTAGCCCACAGACAGGACAAAATTTTGTTTTTAAATATTTATTAGCGACAATTAAATTTGAAGGTTGATTTGCAATTTCATAATTTCTGTAGCATTGCTGTTTGAGCTACCCTCTCAAAATATTGTTGAATAAATAAATTTAAAAAATCACCCATGCTGCAAAATCGACTCTGGTTATAACAGGGACAGATGAGCATGTTTTACATCTCCCTGGTTATAACTTTGGCTTTCTAATATTTAACAAAGGGCCCAGAAATCAATCAAACCAATGCATCTGTTAAATATTTAGGTCTCAAGTCACTCACCCCAATGGCAATAAATCTTGCTTAGGCTACCTAGGCTAGGCTAGGCGACCTAGGCCTAGACAAGACCTAGTGCCTAGGCTAGCCTAGCCTACCTATAGCATTGAAGTACTTATTATTACAAGTTGAACATTTTCAAAATATCATTATGAGAAAATAATATGAATATAAGGTAGTACATTAAATTAAATGTTCTAACCACCTAAATTAACCAGATTGAACGATCAAACGATCTTCATATTGAGAGAAAGATAACATGCCATCCTCCTGTAGTGGTTGGTGAATGACTTGGGGATCATCTTAATAATTAAACACTCACGCATGTGGAGAGCTGAAAGCTAGCTAGAGTGTACTCTCTGGGCTGCGGTACCTCCTGTGCAGGGATTGTCTCGAAAGTCCCACTATTTTTTTTTTTTTAAGAAAATGTTTTTTCTTGCTAATTCTCCACTAGACAACCGGGCAACATGAGGAGTAAATAGGCTAGCCCGGAGCGGTTTTTACTAGACATTGTACGCCGGGCTAGTACTAAATCGAGCCCTGTAAGTACTGACCACTTTTCTATGGTCCCATATTAACAAATAGCTTTTATCTTTATTAATTATAATTTTATCAAAATTATTCTAATTAGAATGCAAGGCCAAATAAAATTAATTGTTAGTTTCACGTTCGGGATTTTAAATTATTTTTGGTGAGGGTATTTACTATCCAATATACTAATGGTAAACAGGCTGGTAAATAGTTTGTTCTACAAAAGAAGTAAAATAAATCTTTGTAGTGTATGTTCCACCTCTTCTTAGGCTTGACATCATTCATTCAGTCACTATTTTTATTGTCCATGGAAAATGAATGATTTTTTGAAAAATAGCAAACAGTAAATTTTTCCATGAGGCTCCATCCAAAATGTGATGAGGGCGGGAACATGAAACTAGAAATTAATTTTAATTTGCCTAATTGGAGGGAGATCTATATTTGTTATGTATTTTGAACAATATTAAACATCATAAATATATTGTAATTATAGACCTGTACATTTTTTTAAATTTATACCAACAATACGTATTAATACAAAATATAACCAAATTCCATCGGATCGCCATGGATTTTAAGGTAGTCTACCTAGCCTCTCTGCTGAGTCCTGGTATAGGCCCAGGGTGGCCTACTTCTAGCTACTACTATTATGCATCCATCTGACTCCGCACAAATTCACATTGCGGAAAAAATTTTGTATGTTCCCCAAACGCAGAGTCCCCCGGTTCCCAGTCCCTTACTTTGCCATTGCAAATAAAACATTGCACCATATCGGCAACTCCTGTGTAAAAGAAACCAGCTCGAGCAAGTTCTGATGGCGACACGGGAACATTGGACGGAAAACCGTCAAAAGTCTGTAAACGTTCATTTAAACTTTGGTACTGAGTATCTTCTTCACATTGTACAGGGAAGGGGATTTCATCAACACACGGTTCCCTCTGGGAATAGTTACTACTACTACTACTACCATATGTATTTGCAATAATACGCTGTCCATTTATAATGACCTCACTGTTCGAATCACCGCTGATGTAAATATTATTACGTGCTTGCACTCCATTACTAAATCCACATACAGGCTGTCCATTAATAGCAATGTTCATTCCACCACCGACATTGCTTCCGTAGTAGCAGCAGTAATCTGTATCCAAGTCATCGTCCTCTTTGGGCCTGCGATCACTTCTGGTTTGGTTGTAGTATGCCATTTCTGCTTCTATCCAAATTCTCCTTAATTCATTTATTGTTTAGATTCTCTGTTACTGAACAATAATGCAAAATGTTTGCATGTTAGCAGACATCATTATATAAACTTCGTGTGAATGACGATATGACTTGGATTTTCCAAAAGGATAAACAAAACAAGAAAATGTCTACAATGACGTCATGAATATGGAAGGCAGAAGAAGAAAACAAAATCTTTTTCTTATACAATGGACAGCGCGCTTGTGGCATGACCATTATAACCAATAGACAGGTCTGTGTCAGTCAACGCTGGAAGTTTAGGCTCTATTTTATTATCGTCAATAATCTTTAAATTTTTACCTACTCTGAATGCTTTTTTGACATACATTAAGAGAAAAAATAAATCTCATTCTTACATTCGTAATTGGCATGGCACATGTGACATCATCATGGTTAAACAACAGAAAATAAACAAATTAAAAATGCAATCACTTTGCAATCATACTCAAACACGAGTGCGGGCGTGCCAGTGCGCTTAAATCCTGATGTGCGAGCGCGTAATTTCAGTCTATTAAACCATAAACTTAAAGTTTTTGGATCTAGCACACTTTATTCAAAATTTAAAAATTATTATTGTATAATTATTTTTATTTATTTTAAAATTTTTATTTAACTTATAGTTTTATATACATACAATCTTAAAACTCCGCGTCCATTATTAGGCCTAGATTGCATTTTACTGTTTATAGAAATTTTTTTTTTAGAATGTTAACACTTTATCTCTGAACAATAATGCTATGGTTGAATTCAATATTTTAGTACCAGTTTATGATTTTTATGTTTCGTTAAATTTTAAAATGTTGATGTACCTGGATGTTCCACAACTTTGTTTTATGTCACTCCTACGTTGTTATATTTTGTAATGCTCATATGACGCACCATATTATAATATCTTAACCTTTGACATAAATGCACACGTCGTTTTCAGAGTTAGTTAAAAACGCGTCGAAGAGTGCAGTGTACAAAAAACAACACACGTCGGCGACGCTAAAAATACAGAGGGTTTTTTTCATATGAGAATAGGGTTCAATTTTCATCTGTATTAACTTAGCAATCATGGAGGTGAAGGGTTTGAACGATGTAATTCCTCTCCATTTTTCCATTCCGATTGTAAGTGTTATGCTAATTTTGGGTCTTGTGTTTGCATTCGGTTTCAAGTCTTCTAGCCAGCCGCCTAGCTTTGATTTTGATGACGAGAAGAAAGGTGATCAGCAGGGTAGCGGAAAGAAGAAGAAACGGAAGAAGGTAGGCCTAGCCCGTTGCTTGCCATATGTTAGATTTGCATGATAAAATTGGTGTTTATTCCTAGGAGTAGATATGCACACCATACGTTTGTGTAGAAGGTAAACTATGTGAGCATAATAATAATACTTATTATAATAAGATCTTTCAAAGGTTTGCTTGATGATTTCGCTTTTTGTATGAATAATGAAAAAATTGAATTTATGTATCCATAATGAAAAAATGGGCATATATTCATAATATATACATAGGCATAGGTAGGGCCAAAAACAATACTACTATATTGGCTTGACCTAGGCCTATGTTGCTAACTATTTGATTTGAATATTTGTTGATAATATTTAATTAAGGAATGACTTTTTAAAGAGTACAAACTCCTTTGTTTTAAAAAAATTTGTTTGGTCAAGTTAATGTACAGTATTTTAACGTGACTATAAACACCTACATGTTTGGGAAAGATTTGATTTTCGTACACCGTGGATTCATGGTACAGTACACCTAGGCCTACATTCATACTGTAAAGTTAACCAGAATCGATAAATTTATGTGACCGATAATGCAAGTTTGACTGCGCATGTGTTATTTATTTCACATAAATATATCGTTTACTGATTTGTTTATGGTCACGTAAATATATTCACTTCCTTAATTTTTACATCATAATCAATATTGGGCCGATGATTTTACACAAATCCGGGGGAGCTGTCTTGATCATAACCTTTATGATCAGCAAAAAACTTATGACATGTCGGAACAATATGAATTTCCTATTAACGTTTTCTTATACATTACTTTAACTAGGCCTAGTTACTGTAGCCTAAAGGTATGGTACAGTATGTCAAACTATACTTTAAGGAAAGGGATGTTGGTCCAACTTTCTGTAGTTTACTAAAGTTGTAGGTGTTACAGTACAGTAGGTATAGTACCGTAGAAGCTTTTTTCCAAGTTACTATTAAAAATCTTCCAGGTTGGGAATGGACTCTTGATTATTAAGCAAAAATGATTACTTTAAAATAGGTTTACTGTATAGTAATATAAGGTTTGGTTATCTCTACCTCTGCATGATCATTTACACTGTACATGCATATCAGATGTTTAGTAATTATACACATATTAGTGGGTCAAGCGCTGAATGCACCTTATGTAGATTGCTTGTTCATTTTCTTGTTTTGATTCTAATTTGTTTTCTTTGAAAATGAGAATGCCCTACACAGTATGTTTAGCAAAGGATGATGCCATACCTCTTACCTGCTTATTGAGCAGGGTTTAAGCTGGACAAAACGATATTTAGCAAATTACCTAATTTAATATGAAAATAACCAGCCAAATAGAAATTTGATTGCCAAAACAAAAGAATATAAGGAATTAAACAAACCTTTTCACCAGTGGCCTTGATACCGGGACACAGGATAAAATCCAGAGTAGCCATTTGCAAATAATGATTAATTAACATTATATATTAATTTTTAGAAACCTGAGCAAAATAATAAACAGACTGTGAGTGAAATTCCTGTTAAGGAAGCTGTTGTAACTGAAGTGAAGGAAACTAAACCAAAAAAGTCTAACAAGTCTAAGAAGCAGGCTTCTACAAAACCTGCACCAGGATTGCTCAAGAAAGATGTTAGGAACTTGAAAGACTACTTGGAGTCAGAAAATGGTAAGATTAGTGTAATGATAATAATACTCAAACATTTACAAGGAGCCAATTCCAAGATTCCAAGAGTATCCCTGGTCGTTCGCTACTTCTTTAGCGCACAAAACTATGAACATTCAATGCCACAACATCCTACCAGGTACCAGGTACGTAGATAAAGTGCCTTGCCCAAGGACTTAAGCAACTTGCACAGCGAGAGTTTTGAAACCCCTGACCTGAAGGTTTGGAGTCCAAGCCACAATCGATGCGCCAACCACTTGGTATTAGTCGGTGGAAACCACCTGGTTTAACCAGATATTATTATCAATGATCAATCATCATCATCATTATCTTTATCATCATCATTATCATCATCATCATCATTATCAATCATTGTCTATTATCATCAATTATCACTGTCTTCATCATAATCATCTTCATTATGCATTTTAATCGTCATCATAATTTTCATCATATTCGTCATTACAGTATCATCATCATCATCATCATCATCATCGTAATCATCATCTTTATCATCTTCAATCACCATTATTTATATTTTGGCCAGGATACACTTATTCATTGTACCACATCAATTTACTGTATTTTTGTTACAGGTGAGAATGAGTGGAGCACCGTATCATCACGGAAGGACAAGAAAAACAAACAAGCATCACAGGGCAATGCACTGCAAGAGGTAATAATCCCTCTAATAATCTTACTAGTGAACAACTAGTTTATTTATTTTAAACTGTGTACTGTTACTGTTTACTTAATTATTGTAGTAAAGTGGCAGCTGATAACATTACCACTAATATCTTTTGCCAGCTAATTACTGTATAGTCAGATTAATGCTTACTTTTGAAAATGTATTATTATTTCTTTATATTAAAATTATAAATCTAAATAAATTATAGACTATTATTAGTGAAGTTATTATTTGTTTTCTCTTCTGTAGACCAATAATCAAGAGGCTACTGAGCCAGTTTTGGTCACAAAAGCAGTTGAATCAACAGAAGCTGCAGTACCTGAAGTAAAGAAACCTGCCGTTACTTCTGAAAAGACATCAAAGAAAAAGAAAGGGAAGAAGAAACCAGTTGAGGATGATCACTTGGGAGAAAAGCACGAACCTAAGCAGCCGGAAAGCCCAAGAGATGAGGTTGATAAGATTCCTCCTAAGCCAGAAGAGGAGAAAGTACTGGTGACTTCCCAGAGTCCTAAGGATGCTGAGAAGAATGCCGATGATGGCAAGCAAGGAGAGGAAGCACCAGTAGCAGATAAGAAGAAGGAAAGCCCAAAGAAAGGTAAAACGAAGAATGCAAGTGAGAGCCAAGTTGATGCATCACCAGCTCCAGAAGAGAAGTTCCCAGAGAAGGTATACAAATTGGTTGTACTACTGTACATTTCTCTTTGTTTAATGATCCATGGTCATCAAGCTACTAAATATTAATGTGCATATTATTCTTTTCATTTATTCTTTCTTTACATTTTGAAGCACAGAATTCATTAACATAACAACAGAATATTACAAAAACTTTAGGTAGTACAACCGAAAATCAAATTACTTCATGGCAGCATATCACAGGAGAATGTCAGAATGTTGATATTTTAACTGACATTAAAGGATTTCATGTTAAAAACTTGTGTGGCAATGTTGCTTTAAAATCAAATATAAAAGCTTCAATCCCATATTACTCAATACTGTGATTTCCCTATGTGTTCCAGTATAAATATTCTCATACTTCTATTCTTATTTCTGTAATAAATTAAATATCCTGCCAACCTAATCAGTACATTAGTAGTCTGATTTAAGTTCAAAGGTTAGCACAACTAATTTACACCAGACACAGTCTGGGGAAAATTTTGCATGCATCACCTGCTACAACATGTCCTTGTGAAGGCGCATTGTAAGATTAGTATCTATGTTTAAAACACACATCGCAGAGGCCTGTAACATAGATATATAATATTGTAGACATTGTGCACAGGCTCTAAGGTGGTGGAGCTTATCTGTCAATGTGGCCTTGTGCATATCTTTTGTATTTGCATATCAGCTGTACCAGCTTTAACCAAGGTCTGAATTCACCTCTTTAAAGATGGTGATTTTAGTAGGAATATCTTGGAAGTAACACTGAGCACATTAAATATTACATGGTACATGTGATTAATTAACAAAACATTGTCTTATGTGAATAAGTATAATTTTTCTTTCCTTTGATATCAGCAATGTACTATGCAAGATAAAATGTACTTGGACTTGTTGTGGGGAGTGGGTAGGTGGATAGACCCTTTCCTGTATCTGTCAACTTGCTAAGAAACTTGATTTTAGCACTGAAGATCATAAGTGATCCAACATTAGAATTATAGATGGTTAATTAATAGTGTATATATATAATATACAGGAGATTGGGAGTGAAGATGTTGAACCTCCACCACAGACCATCACAGATAATCAAGCTGCAGTTGACTCTGTAGAATTGAAATCTCAGCCTGTAGCAGAGAGAGTAGAAGCAATTGAACAGTCTGCAGATGATGCTTCTAAAAAGAGTAAAAAGAAGGTTAGTTTATGTTGTCTGAATGTTAAACTGATTTACATCTACATTGAATAATTATTAATAGCAGTGCAGGTTTTTTTTTTAGCTCCGGTGAGGAGCTCTAGAAGAACTCGTCTGATTGATTAATGGATCTTTTTTGAATGGGCGGCCGTTAAGGCCAATATACTCTACTGCCTCTATTATACTGCCCTCATCTTGTTTGTATGGCAGCTGTTGGGGCCAATATATACTCTACTGACAGAGGAGCTCTAGACACACTCGTCTGTTTGATTAATAGATCTGCCTCTATTATACTCTATTACGAGAGCTTGTTTTTGTAGAATATACTTATAGAGAGTATTTCAATGCAAATTTGACATACAGGAATATAACATGCTGTATGCACCAGTTGGCTAGTGCTATATTGGTATTGATATTAATTGAGCATTTTTACATTACCTTATCTGTATCTCAGCAAATTTTATCAGTTAAACTGAAAAGATACTGTATGTGATGGTGTGTTCAGCTGTTGATGTTTGCATTTTTCCTTTAATGAATAGTAATATTGCGGAGTTAAATAGCTTGGTGGTTAAGATGCTTGCCTTCCAATCCCAGGGTCCTGTGTTCAATTCCTCCACTTCCTAAGCCTCATGTTGAGATTAGTTTGTGCACTGTAAAGCATCATTGTGGGTATGTTTGTCTTGTCAAAGGGATTGTCACCTACAGTACAAATATTAAGTGATATATTTGCTATTGCCAGTTCTTTGCGTGTGTGCGCCTAAAGAAATAAATAAAAATATAATAATGTATAAGAAGATAATTGTAACTCAGAGTTTCACACATTTGTGATCATTGAATAGGTCAGTTCATATCATCTGCTTAATATACTCTCAGTTGATAAATTAGTTTCTTTGTCTTCATTTATAAATGGTTTGATTGTTTGTTGGCATAATTGTACTTTTTATTGAATCACTTAATTTTTGTTTAGTCTAAGAAAAAGAAGAAGGTGCTTAATAGTGAAGATCCTGCTGAAAAGGAACAAGTATTAGATGAAGTTGCTGTAAACAACAAACCATCAAATTCAGAACAGAGTTTTGAGGCTAAACAACCAGTAACTGATGCCATAGAAGCTATTCAAAACTCACCCAGTCAATCAAAGAAGAAAACGAAAAAATCAAAGAATAAATCAAAATCAAATGAAGGAACTTCACAAGAAGCTCCAATAGAAGTCACACCTGGTGAGTGGTAATACATTGAATGTCATATAATATATATTTATTTTTTATATAATATAAATATGTATTGCAACAGAAAAAAAAAATTGAATTTAAGCATTTTTACTTTTATCTTCAAGGAGCCACCCTTGCACTTTTTTTTGGGTGCAGAATAACTCCTCTTGGAGCCAAAACAACTCCCTGAAAATAACAGTGTCACAATAATTTCACATGTTTGTGCATGACCGTGATTTGTGTTTCAAGCTAGCTTTCATGTACCAGGTTTCTGGGTTTTATTAAACTGTACAGGCTGTAGCTTGGTGGTTTAGATGCTTGCTTTCCAATCCAAGGGTCCTGGGTCAAACTCTGTCACTGCAAGGTTTTTTCTTACAAATAACAACTCCACTCCCAAAGCCTTGTGAACAGACACAGTTTATAAATGCATCATTCCATCCTGTAAATGGCAAGTGTACTTGTAAGAAAAAAATAAAAAAAAAATAAAAAATATATTTTTCTTATGACCTTATGCTACTACTCTTCCAAGCATCCTAGACTTGGTTATAGAGAGAGAACAGGGTTTCCCAAACGATCAACTTTCCACTCCTAAACACTCATAAAGACACTTGGATTTGGAGCATCATTGATTGATTTATTGATTGATTGATTGATTTGGGAGTTGGTTAGAGCATTAGCATCCTAAAAACTCTAAATAAAACCTGATTCTTTTCTGATCTTAATGATATTACATCAGCATATTTTGTGGTAATTTTTTTATGATGATTTTGAACTTTCCATTACAGAGCCACCTGCAATTGAGACTAGCAATTCAAGTGAGGCAATTTCAGTCGACCCAAAACCAGAGCCAACTGAGGCAGTTGTACCACCACCTGAGTCACAGGCTCATGAAACTAATACAGAAGAGAAAAAAGGTAAGCGCTAAAAATGTTAATGACACGATGGAAGTATACTGGTGCTCATGCTAAAGTCTCATTAAGAGGATTAGGCAGTGAAATGTTTTTGAGAAAAGAAAATTATACTTTTCTGGGGGTTCTATAGATCATGGTGCGCTGCATTCCCATAGGCCTGGTAAGTATCAAGATGCTGTGCAGGTACCTCTAGTTCTCAAGGGGCTTGGACCAAGGTCATGCTGTACTGCAGCTACCACTAGTTTCCCAAGGGCCTAGCTAAGGGTCATGGTACTCCGCAGCTACCTCTGCTCTACAAGGGATCAGCCAAGGTCATGCTGCACTACAACTACCACTAGTTTCCCCAGGGGCCCAGCTAAGGGTCATGCTACTCTGCAACTACCTCTGCTCCCCAAGGGATTAGCCAAAGGTCATGCTGCACTGCAGCTACCACTAGATTCCTCAGGGGCCCAGCTAAGGGTCTGCTACTCTGCAGCTACCTCTGCTTCCTAAACGCTCAGCCAAAGGTCATGCTGCACTGCAGCTACCACTAGTTTTCCCAGGGAACAGTGTTCCCTGGTTTCCCCAGGGGTCCAGCTAAGGGTCATGCTGCTCTGCAGCTACCTCTGCTTCCCAAAGGCTCAGCCAAAGATCAAGCTGCACTGCAGCTACCACTAGTTTCCCCAGGGGCCCAGCTAAGTGTTATGCTACTCTGCAGCTACCTCTATTTTCCAGGGGCTGAGCCAAAGTTCATGCTGCACTGCAGCTACCACTATTATCCCCAGGGGCCCAGCTAAGGGTCATGCTATTCTGCAGCTACCTCTGCTCTCCAGGGGATCAGTTAAATGCCATGCTGCAGTCCAGCTGCCACCACTGATCCTCAGGGGCTGAGAATTACTACACTACTTCACATTAAAAAACCATTGAATTGCAACCTGTTTATAATTTGTTATGCATTTTGGTTTTTATAGGTGCTTGGAAAGATGCTACAAAGCCAAAGAAAAAGAAAGTAAGAAGAGATTTATAGCATACTTCCTGAAAAAGGAGGGGATAACCCAATACGATGGTTTTCATTATTTGACTGAAGAGGAAGTGCTTTCAAGTATCTGTTTGTGTTTAACTTTAGGTAGTATTTTAATTATTCAAAGATGAATGAATTGAGTTGATTTTTAAAATGAATTAATTTGAAAGTGAATGTATTATTTATCTTGCCTTTTATAGTGAGATTAGTCATATATTTAGTTTGATTTTTATCAAACTAGCAAGAATAAGTAAGGATGCTAAGTGAAGAGACATATATTATATGAATACTATAGCCTAATGGCTAAGGACACATTGTAGTTCAAAAACAAATACAGAAAGATCATATAAAATATGAAATTTAGGTCGAGGCTCAGTAGTGTATATG